AGCGTGGTCGACCTAGGAACATCTCTGAAGACGGCAGCCGGAGGGGCCGGACACGAAGCCTAAGTATGGATCAAAGTCGAATTGCCAAAGAAAGGCGGTCGGCGACTCCAGATATAGTGGAGGGACGGCACCATCAGACAAGAGACTCGAAGGAAAACCTGAGCCGGTCGAGGCGCCTGGACGGCCCGCGCAATCACACCTTCACCGGACCTATATCCAGTTCAGCGCGAAGGGAAAGAAGCCTCAGTCCTTACAGTAAGCGTCTGGCGCTGACTCAGGCCATGAACTTGGAACGCTGAGTCGGGAGAAATCAAGTCGAGTAAAAGGGAAGTTTGGGGATTTGCTCTCTCAGCCGTTCGACCGGGTTGGAAAATATCGTACCTTCTGAACCCCAGTAATGTACTATACTAATACAGAAGAGCATAACTGCATTAACATCCATGCAATCAAATGCAGATAACCACTAACGCCTGTTTCTGACCGTCCCGAGTCCCAGCTCTGCAGCGCCAAAGTAATGTGTTGTATGATAAAGAAGCATGTAAGAGCATAGATCAACCACTGCGAATCTTCAAGGGTATCATGAATCCTCGTCCCTCTCTCGTCTTTCTTCTTCCTGTTCCCTCTCGCGGACATGAATTCCTTCCACCAGCATGTCTCCTTCAATGCCTACCTCCTCTCCCCGCTCATCTTCGTTGCGGGTCGTTCCCTGCGCCTTCGCTGCTCGTTGCGCATTCTCTATGCGCTGTCGAACCAGTCTCGCAATTGCATTTTCCGTTCTCACGTTAAGCATTTTCATCTTTTCATCAAGGTCACGTTTTAGGTCCCAGTTAGGCTTCTTTGGCTGCAACTTGAATAGGTCGATCGGTTGATCCTCCTCCGCATCCTTCTTCGCCTGCTCCGCCGTAGCCTTTGCTATCTCAGCAGCTTGCGCTTCAAGGGTGTTCGCACCTTCTGTTGGCGCTTGATCAAATCCCAGCTTAGGCCCTCGAGTTTCTGCGTCGAAATTGCGTCCGGAGAGGTACTTTCTTGTGACATCGGGAGCGGCATCTTCGAGCTCGTGGTCTCCAGCACGCGCCTCTACCAGTGTCTCCGGTTCTGGTTGCTTCCTTTTCAGAGCTGCAAGCTTCGCAAGACGAGCTTTGCGTTCTGTTGCCGCCGCATCAAGGGAGGTGTGATTCAGCGACATGGTATCAGAGTGAAAGAAGTAGGAGAAAAGCAACGGAAAGTAAAATTCCAGGGGATCACAAAATACCGCTGGCTTCGATTATAAAAGTGATAAGCTCGCTAATTTGCCCTACGGCGAGTTTGCGACAAACGAAGTGGTCTCTGAGTTTTTGATACAAGTACAGATCACTTTTTGCGGTCTTGATAACATCCACTCGATTTATCGGGAAGGGGTGCGCCACAATCAATTGTCACTAGCCACATCCGCGTCGGAGCAAAATTGGCGGCTTTTTCTGAGGCTTGATCCATCCATGCAATGATCTATGAAACCGTCACTCGCCCATTCTTCACCGTTCTCATCGTCTCTGGGATCCGCTAGCATTCTTTCAGAAATCATTCATCAATGTACGCGATCAAGAAGTCCTGAATGTCATTTTGTCCGCAGCGTCTCCTTCGTTCCCGCTTCAGCGCTGGACTGCCATCCTGGGATCCGCACCACAGGTGGTATCAACCAAGGACGGGCATTCAACGCACGAGAGCATTATATTCCAGTAATGATGCGTCGAATACGAGAGCCCAGCTCTCTCCCGCCATTGATACCGCTATCATCCGTACGACGACCCCCTATACTACTCCGGAAGATCATTGTTGGAAAAATGTACCTCGGAGAGAATCCTCTACAACTTCCACCATCGATACTACTTCCGATCCCGTTTCGCCCTCCAGGAATGATTTAATCGAGTCACAATGGTCCACAGTGCTCGAGGATGCTTCTCCTTGCCCTGATCAGGAGCTAGGTGCTCCTACTCAAGCTCGAAGATTCGCGGGCCGACGACCCCGGTTTCCAAACTTCAAGCGCCTGCTCTCGATCCCAGGACGGAGTAGTATCTTCACGTCAGGTCCTGCGCCAGCTATAATCTACAAAACCAAGGTCATGGTTAGGGGTCAGCCCAGGGATAGACAAAGAGTTCTCCGACCTAAGACTGTGGCTCTGGAGAAGCGCATCCGATCTCAGTCCTTCTTTCACGAAGGGGCGAATATACGCACATGGAGACTTGCTCAAAGCGATCTGTACAGGTCCAAATTCTACGAAAGAGAGATCCGAAACGAGTTCTTGAGAGACTTGAAGCCGAACCCCACCGAGCTGGGCCTCCTAGAGAAACTCAAAACAGATAGTCAAGGCAGTTTCCGTGAGGCTTGGGAGGCGTTAAGCAAGAGGGACAAAGCTCTTCACTGGCATAACCTATCCCTATGGTTGTTGAGAGAGTCTCCAGAGCTTGCACTAGAATTTCTCTCAGTGACCACTCATGGCAAGGAGAGGCCTGTCTTTGTGATGGTCGCAGATGCCTTCCTTTTCTTAGACTCTTTTTACTACGACAGGCTCAAGAACTGGAGAAAAGGGCCGCACACATATCAATCTGTCTTCAATACCGCCTTGGGCCCCCGCAATTGGCCAATTCTCTTTTTGCCGCAGAAAATCGTTCGACTTTATGTGAAGCGTGCTGATCGTGACGCAATTTACTATGCTTATAAACTCGTGGGTGAGCGCAAGATCCATACAAAGGCGGAGACCCATCTTTGTTTCATGTGGCGATTCATTGAGTTCAAGGATGTCAATCAGGCACTTGACGTTCTTGATAACGTGCGGCGAATGAAACAGGTTGAGTTTGGGATGGATTCTCAGAGCGTGATGCGCCACTGTTGCAAGCTTCTCACACTTGATTCGGTTCAAGAAGGACCGGAAGGGCGCAATTTCTACATTCTTCCTAAATTACTCAAAATGGGTGTTCGGCCAGATCGGGACATGATGAACATTGTCTTGTCCAATGCCTTCAAAACAGGTGACGAGCAGTTGGGGCTCGATATGCTGGAGTATATGAAAAATCATGGCCTTGAACCGGACTCTTACACCCATTTGATCCTCCTCAACGATGCTGTTGCGCGGGGGAATCGAGACCGCGTTAGTTCTTTGATTCGGGAGATCGAATCTAACGAGGAGCTACTGAAGAATCCTTGGATCGCAAGTAAGATCTTTCATGCTCATTTCGTTTTCACCGCGAAGCATATAAATCCAGACGACGATCCGGATGCGGTGTTTTATTCCATGCTGGAGATGTATAACAAGCTACATGATATTACTCCTTTGAAGGAGCTCTCTCTCTTACCGCCAGAATACACACCTCCACCGGGAGGTGACAATACCCCGCCGACCACGATCGCTTTGTTTCTCATGGTTGCGACATATCTACGCTGCCGGAAGCGTGTCTCTATTGCTCAGCGCCTTTATACGAACTTTCGCTCCCTGGTGCTGCAGGGCCACCCCACAATTGCCCCTCTAGCAGCAAGCGATCACGTTTACAATGAGTTCCTTGTGGCGTTTCGGGACAATCCTCGGGGGTTGCGGCCAGCTATGCGAGTAGTTGAAGACATGCTGCAGACTTCTGCCCAAACCGACAATAACCGGGCGATGCACCAAACAGCAAGTGGTCATGCCTTACCTTCTGTTCGAACATGGACAATTTTGATGAGTTGCTTTATCTTCAACAAACAACCGCTCGCTGCAGAGAGAGTGAAGGAGATGATGGCTGAACACAATGTCGAATTCAATAAGGTCACCTGGAATATTATCATCAGTGGTTACGCTTGCAAACAAAGAGTTTTTGACCTTGCGAAAACAATCAAAGCGATGGAGGACGCGGGATACGTCATTGACTCCTACAACATGAAGGCTCTTCGTTATCTTCGAGATCCCGAACGACTGTGGGTGGCTCTGGAAGAGTTGGACAAGCTGTCACAGCCTTCTCTCACCACATTGACCGACTCTAAACCCGCACCTCCAAAAAACGACAAGAAGACAAGGGACGAGCTTTTGGATCAAGGGCTCAGACGGCTGAGGGAGAAACTAAAGCCCAAATTATGAAGATACCCCTAAATCTTTTGACGTCTTTCTTCTCATTGTTTATGGTTTGCATCAGAAGCGCGGGTTCTGGATAACTGGATGATTACCAAGGGCAGGGAGTCACAGCTAAAGCATGGGTGTTTCGATTGGTATATAGAGCGTTTCTACAATTTCCTTGTAAATTATCACCCGGATGTATGTACATTAGAAATAATCATGACAAAACTCCCTACGCATGATATTCCATATCCCGGTACAAGGGGAGAAATGAATGAACGCCGACAAGTCAAGAAAGCCATAGAATCTGATATCATGAGACGTAAGGCTGACATATAATTTTTAGCCGCCAAAGAAGATTGAGACCTGAAGTTGATACCATGCGTTAGGTCTAAAGTGCGTTGGGTATGATGATGGAGAATCGGTGTGTACTCACTGCCATCAGTACGCAGCAGATACTAACGTACGGGCTTAGACGTTCTCCAATACGAGCGCACTTCCAGAATATCCCGAAGAATCTGAACGGTCCGAGGTCAGTCAAATCCGAGTAACCTGTGGTAGGAATGTGTGAAGCGACAGATTGCTGAGAACCTACCCACGCTGATTGCGGTCCATGATTCCTGGCATGATGGAGTGCGCATAAGTGCTTGTGCAGATAATGAGCAGGAACACGAGGAGAAGTGACTGAAAGTTGAATAAAGCAGACTGCGACATCAGTTAGTTTTACTCTGGCCTGGTGTGAGATGGGCTCCTCAAGTAGAGGGCATTCACGCTGTTTTAAACTCACCATCTTGACTGTAGCAGAGGGTCACCACCCTTCTTCCTTACACCAGCACGGACTTGGGTGAAAATTCCTAGTTACTCAATTGATCAATCAATCAGTTTGTGCTTTTGAGGACGGCTATCCCACTGTAGTGTCTTGTCTGGTGTTCACACCAAGATGGCAGACCACAGTGACAACAGTTCTGACCGCCTTGACAGTTCTGCTGGCATGGTTCCATCTCACCGCTCTAAACACCGCCATGTCCGCAGAGGCAATCCTATTGATTCCGCGGCTCATCATACTTCATCGTCTCTTACAGCACAAAGATCCTCACAACCGCAGCAACTCGGTCCAAAGCCATCAGTCCCAGCACAACTCGGCGGTTCTGGCCATGTGCCGGGCGAACTCGCTCCTCCTTGGCCTTTTAATCCTCAGGAGACTGCTCTGATACGCTCCGGATACATCCCAGCCTTCAAACCAGAAGTCCCAGCTGCACAGGAAGATTCCGCGTCGGAAACAGATTCCAAGAAAAAGAAAAAGCAGAATCAAAACAATTCATCCAACATGGCGGAACCTAGAGCACGCGCTGCAAGGCACAAGGGTCAGATGAATTTTGCATCGGAGCGTATGTGACTAGTGTTACTACTTTTCATTGTGGACTTGATGTCGCGTGTGCGAAGGCTTCTGGAACTAACATATGGCTATATAGTGCGTCTTCTCCTTCTGGCATATGGAGATCCCAGTCCTCACCCATCCTTCCCGTCTGAGCCCCTTCCTGAGACTGTTCGTGTTCTCGATGAAATCGTCACCGACTTTGTCCTTGAGATGTGCCACAATGCAGCCCAGTATGCCAGCTACTCCCGTCGCCAGAAGATCAAGGTGGACGACTTTCGTTTTGCATTGAGGCGCGACCCGAATAAACTCGGTCGTGTCCAGGAACTCTTGCGGATGGAGCGCGAGCTGAAAGAGGCTCGTAAGGCATTTGATCAGAATGATGATCAGGTCGGAAATCTCAAGGATGCGGGCAAGAAGGGACTCGAGGAGCTGGGTGAGGGCGCGGATGGAGCAGGAGGAAAGAAGAGCAAGGGCAAGGGAAAGCGACCTTCTAGGAGGGATTCGGATGCTACAGAGGATACTGTTTTGAAGAAGAGGAAGCTCTGAGCAGGCAGGCTGTTTTGCTACGACCTTGTCCAGCTCAAAACGCCTGGCCATCGACAGTCCTTTCACGCTGCCTACGATGATGGAAAACCGGCTGGGCTTTTTCAGGAAAGGCGTATTTCCTCTCCCAACTCACCCGATACATCTGAGGATCATGGCTCGAATGAACATTGAAAAGTTCTGGGAGTTTTCAAATGCACACGCTCTTGCTCTTAGCGGGGTGCCAGCGGTGAGAATTCCTCTATCAGTAGCCGCACCAGGGAGCTCCCGTCCTGTCTATCCTCTCTTTTCTTGTGTTCTTTCTTTACCATTATGACTAGCCTAGAAAGTATCTTTGATACTGTCGCCGGGCGTGTCTCGCTCGGGATGTATGTAGTGGTCATCAAGGAAGAGCTTCTCAGAGTCCTGTACATGTGTCTCACTGGCACCTGCGCGTCGCCGCTTATAGTAAGGTAGCACGTACGTTCTTCATCCTTGTGACCGATATGGTAACCAATATTTAACAATCCCTTGGCTAGACTTGGTATGTTGATGATAAGAACGGGTTGCATACCTGGACTTCCGCTTGGCTTTCACTTTCTTGTGGTTACTCGGCAGTCATCGATGCTTCTTGAAAGCCTTTGTGATTCTACCGAAGTCTTCATTGCCTTTCGTTTGGTGCTCAGCAAGCTCCCAACTCCAGGTCCGCTCCTGATAATTGCTTAACGAACATTGACGGTTTGTTTCTTCAGAAAATCGTCCTACATGTCTAATAAGCAATTGGAGATAGACTGTTGCTAGCCTATGAAGCGACTCCCCATATACTGCTTATCCATGAGGCAAGTGCTAAGTTGAAGCGTGAGATTTTAAGTGATCTAGCTACTGGGCGCACATCTCTGCAAGTATGTACTCGAGTGAGCCTCCACGCAAATTTGGGACTTTGGATGCCGCGGATAAGCAAATCCAGTCGGCTGCTTTCCAATGACTGGGATAAAAAAAAATATACAGTACAAGGGTAAGGATACGAAAAAAAGAAAAAGAAGGAGACGACACCTCTGGGATTCGAACCCAGGCGGGCGAACCCACAGGCTTAGCAGGCCTGCGCCTTAACCACTCGGCCAAAGTGTCTAATGGGCAGTTTGCCACTCAGATTGAGTATAGCCAAGGCAAAAGCCATCTAAAGCACCAGAATGGAAGATTAGTAATATCAGTATCTCTCTACCTCTCTACTGTATCCGTATCACTCACTTGGACTCAGAACTTAGAAGCCCCGGCCTGCACCAATAGATACCTACACAGTACTTTAGCAATCTGACCGAGCGGCAGCTTTTACAGAGGTTCCCTGTTACGGGCTAGGCCGTAGGTAAACCTATGACTAGGTATGTACAATAAGAACTCGCTGAAGGACTAGAATAGGGGGTTGCAGGCCTGGATAGAAATATCCGATTGCGCGCCGCAGCTAGCGAGGTGTCACGTGACCCAGAGCTGTATGGCTTCGCGAGTGCCTGCTAGGCGGCACGAGCATATCGCGGGCCTTGCTCGCAACATTCCCCTGCTTTTTCTTCCGTTTCTTTTTCTTTCGTTGGCTTGTAACCTGTGGGGATAGCGGCGCTACTTGCAGTGAGCTCCGGCCATCAATCTAAAAGTGACCAGCACTAGGATTCGCCATGCCGGAGCAGAAAAGGGAGTGAGCCCGTAGGTTGGATTTGGGGTCTGGCTTATATCTGCGTCATATACCATTTCATACAGTGATATGTGCATCTTCGGACACTTTGGCCGAGTGGTTAAGGCGCAGGCCTGCTAAGCCTGTGGGTTCGCCCGCCTGGGTTCGAATCCCAGAGGTGTCGTTTTCTTTTTTATTTTTTCCCCTTTGCTCTGTTTCTTTTGTATAAAGAGCTATTGCGAACGGCCCTCAGTAACCTGGCCGGGCCGCCCTTAACCGTAATTACGACCGAGTCTTTGTCGATGAGTTTCCTTCATTCAGCGCCACTTAAGAATCTCAGACGGTCTGGCGCCAGCCAGCCAAGGAAATGGTTGTGGTTTTTTTTTTTTTTTTCGGCCCCTCTCTATTTATTTTTTTTTTCTCTGTCTTCTTGTCTTTATTTCTTTCTTCCTCATAATTCTCTCGGATCATAGCGCTTGCTGGCTGGGTCTTCGATGAGATGTGAACCTCTTCAAAATCGTTCGGACCTAATGATTTGAGCAGCATTGGAAATAGTCCTACGCATCGCAATCAGACGATCACATACACACTATATTCTGACTCTTCCCTACGCGTCATTTCCCTGCGCTTGCAGAGACGCCATTGCCCCTTCTCTGGTTGTAGAGTTAGATGAATCTGCATTTCCATACCCGTTGACACTTTGGCCGAGTGGTTAAGGCGCAGGCCTGCTAAGCCTGTGGGTTCGCCCGCCTGGGTTCGAATCCCAGAGGTGTCGTAATTTTTCCCAGCTGCTGCCGTTCCTTTAGCCCTTTTTTTGTACCCATCTTGTTAGACTCTGATCATGTAAAGACGGAAGATCGTCCTCTATTGTATTTGCTTTTAGAATGTTTTCGGCCTGTCGCCTAAATCATGACAAGACGATACAAAATAAGACCAGGTAGGAATCGAAAAAAGGCGAAAGAATCTACACACGAATTGTTCACATTGTTCAAAGAAACAGAACTAGGCAGTCATAGTACTATCACATATCTGACTTTTATCTTCAGACATTATGTTGCCATTGTCATCAGTGTATGCACCTCCAACAAATGGTCTGAGTGCGTCGGACCTTTTCATGGCTCATCTGAATATTGAGATATCGGCGCGGCCTCGTCGCTATCTCCTCGTCCGTGACTCCAGACATCCCGTCTACGAACCCATTTGCTTTCTTAACGAGCTTCGTTCCGCGGCCAGAGGCATAGAAGCCGAATTCCTGGCCTTCTGGACCCATGACAGTAAGTCGGAACGCGAGCCTAGATGCCGGATCTTCGCTAGTCGCATGGGAAGCCCATCGTTGGGGGTGTTTTTGGCCAGGGGCCTTGATTTCCGCCCTGATTCGGACTCTTCGAAGAGATTTGGGGTCAGGAAATGTGGCCCTGAGCTCTCCATCGTACGGAAAGTATAAATCCAACCTGGCAGCATAGGTCCGAAAGAATGATTTGAAAGGCGCACACTTCCCTCGGAATTCGAGTTTGGCATTAACAGTTCCCTGAAGCAAGGCCATTTGGACCTTCAAAGTACTGCCCTTTCGCTTTCGAGGCATTGAGGGCTCATCCGAGTTCGAGTGCAATGCAAGATTATTTTGAGAAAAGTTGTTGTGGGTCGTCCCATCATCAGTGATCATCGCACACTCAAGACTTTCCAGCTCCAGGTCCTGTTGGGTTTCGAGCATTTCATCGTCCATTAAATCCATCTCGTTGTACACATGACGAGACTCATCTGTTGGGCTGTTACGAGTCGAAATTTCTGCCCAGAGATCTCGAACTATGGCCAGCTGGTTCTTGTCAAAAATGCCTCTTCTTCTGTTAAACGAAGGGAGCATCATGCTTCTTTTTTCCGTACCCCCGTGTATCCTTCTGGGGAGAATCTGCGTGAGCATCAGCAGGGCCGCTGTTAAAGATTCTGCTGAGGACTCTAGGCGGACAATGTCTTCGTGGTTTTTGAAACCCTTTGCTTCGAGCCAGGACCTTATGTTTGGGTCTAAATTGTCAGCGGACATCTTTGGGTGGCCGTTGCGCTCCCAGTCGTATTGTCGAATGACCTGGAGGAGCACCAATTGGCAGCAGTACACATTTGGTCGAATCCCACGACTGTCCGTCATCAGGATTGCGAATTGTAATAGCGCTGACAATGCCGCGGCCTGAGCCCAGCTATTTCCCCAAAGAGCAACCAATGGCGCAGGGGAGGCAAGATAAATGCACTGTCTTCCACCCTCCATTATTTCAAGCCATGCTTTGAAGGCACGACCTCGAAGGCAGAGCTTAAAAGCATACGTCGATGGATTCCCATGAAAAAGAATTCTTTCAGCATGTATGGCAAAGACTCCACTCATAAGCTGAGATGGCATCGCAAGCATTTGGAGGGTCTTAACAGAACATGGCTTAAACCAAGCATGCCTGACTCTGGAACTCTCTCGAACATAAACCCTAGAAAGTCACAACACATCTCTAAGACTGATACATAGAGCGCAACCATAGCCCTCTAATCCCATATCAGAGGTATACAAGCAACTCCGAAGCAAAACTTTCCTGATGTACATTCAAGCATAAAGTTAAGTTCGAACAAAACGAGCAAGAAGCGGCGGCCTTATCGTGGAAGAATCCAAGGTATCTAGCACATATGTCCATTTCGTCATGACTAACACATCGCTGAGATAGTGATCATCTCATAAACATCTGGTTTACATCGCAACTATCAGATGACCAAGGTCCCCCTGCTCCAGAAAATAAGGGCCGTGGTACTCGATCCCCGTACATGGGCGTATATCCATTTCCCCAATTTCCTCCCCATTCATCTCTTTGAGCAAAGCCAGAATGACTCCTGTACGCCGTGCTTTTCTTCGTTGGACCCCTAGGTCGCCTCGTCGTATGTCTGATCCACGCCTGGACCCGGCAACAGCATGCGCAACAAAGATGGAGATATAGAGCCAGGCCACCAGAACTGAAAAATTCTTTCAAAGCAAACCCAGGACGAGATAGAAGGCAGACACACATCAACAAGAAGACTGATGGGGGAAAAGAAATAATCATAGGAAGAAGTATCACAAGGATTGAACAGCTGTATGAGAGAAAACGTAGGTATCTTCACAATATTTCCTTATTCCCCTCACGCGCGAGCTTCCTCAGTGGCCCGTTCTTGAGTACGCTGCTGTCCGCCGCGGCCGCCCTTGCCGCCTCTCTGGCCACGCTGAGCGCCAGCCTCGGCGCTGCCAGCCTCTCCACCCAAAGTGAGCTGAGCAGTTGCTAGCCGGTTGGACAGTTCCATCTGTGTGCGAATGGTGTTGGCCAGGTAAGACACGACCAGAACGTCCTGGATGTGGTTGTTGCTGTAACATAGTTAGTATCAGGTAAGAATACCACCAAACAAAGAGAGCCGCATAGAAAACATACAAGTCACGTTCAATGTCGGCGGGTTCGACCTTGGGCGCCAAGGCCAGGGCATTGAGGAGGAACTGGCCCAGTGCCGTCGAAGCTGGAGCTTCTTCATCAATGACGGACTCGACGTATCTGGAGACTCTGTCGATCATGCCAAGAACCTCCTCGATGGCACGCTCCAGAGCCTCGATATCAGTAAAGATGTTTGTGGCACGGCTTTCGGCGTCTTTGGCGGAAGCAATAGTCTCGAGACCACTCTTCTCGGCCTCGCCATAGCGAATCTCATAAGGGACAGGAATGAAAGCGGCACTGTCTGCGGCCCTCTCCGCGGTCACGCCGACGGGGGCGGAGATGTAGGCACGGGTCTCAATATCCTTCCCAGGCTCAGTAGACACCGTCAGATGGACGGCAGGGTGAGGCCATGTGCCGTCACCCTGGCCGCTGTAGAAGTTCTGGATCAAGGCGGAGAAGGTGTTCAACTCGGACGACGTGGCGTACCAACCCACAAGCACTTCCCTCGGATTGGCCTTGAGGTGCAGCGCAAGCATCTGCTTCTGGTATTCCATATCCACCTCAACCTGGTCGGTCGTCTCTGTGTGTCCAACAGCGAAGGTGCTACGAATTTCCACCTCGGTTCCATCCTCTGATCTGGTTCCAAGCAGGGTACCGATGACACGCTCCTGATCGGCATTGCGACGGAGGGAGTGGTCGAGAATCGAGAAAATGGCCTATTACAAGGTGATGAGTAAATCCAATCATTTTCAACGTCTCCCCAGACGTATCCAGGACATACCTGAGGCTGAATGACAACGTTCAGAGGGGCGGTGGTTGGTGCAGACCCCACTGCCACTGGGCCCAAAGGGCGAGAAAGGTGAAGGAAAGAATCGGTTTCAGCCATGTTGGAGATGTAGAAAATATGCCGAAGCCTGTTTCTCTCACACTCTTGAATGCTTCCTCGCCGGTGGTGTGGATTGGCTCTCTGTAATATCTTTTTTCTTTCTAATTCTTCCGCCCGCTCAATCTCGGCGGAGTTCTGCGAGGCTCAAATTGTGTGTGCGCCCAAAGGGGAATTTCGCGCTAAGATAAGATAAGACCGAGCCCCCCGACGCAAGAAAAAAAAAAAATATGAGCTTTGGACAGACAACAGGACTTGATCGGGCTTGTCAGGTTCTGTAACTCAAGCGCATATTATCAGAGAGATTTCACTAGCCCAGAAAAATGCCCCCTGTACGGAATAGAGGTGGTAAATTTAGCAGAGGACGTGGCAAAGGGCCTAGGGGCCAAACCAAGAGAAAGAATGGCTTCACCACCTCGCGAGTCGAAGACGTAGAGTAAGTATAAACTTTTCCTATTTTGCTTGTCTTGCTCTATGAATAACAGGGAATTCATTTATTAGATCGGAGGATTATTCAGGTGATGAACCACATCTCAACCAAGAGCCGGTTGGAGATGAAACGGACCACGAAACCCAAATGGATGATGTCTCGTCCGATAGCGACGACGAAGATCAGCAGACAGCTCGCCCGTATAACGAACTGATCCAATTGCTCCAAGCAAATGCGGAGCCCAAAGGTCCTGCTAGGAAGAAGAGAAAGGTTGAACACAACGGAGGAGAGAAGAGAGACGCCGTGCCCGCCGCGAACGGAGAAGAGGACGATGCGGTTTTACTAGGAGACGATGATTTGCAAGAGCAGGAGCCGTCGGACGAAGAAGAGGAAGATCACCTAGAGGAAGCGGACGGCAAGCTTGAAAGTGACGACGAAGAAGATGGTATTTATCCGAACCGACCCCTGTTTATCTAACCTTCTAACGCTGTACAGCAAACGACCCATTTGACACACACTTTTCGATGGTAGAAGAGAGCGAGCTGGCCAAGAAGATTAAATCAGCAGAGGAAAAAAAATGGAAAAGCACGAAGAAGGAGATCGCTGGCGGGTTGAAGTTGATGCGCGCTGTTCCCGACGCTGGTGAGGGCGATGTATCCTTGCTACCAGGACTGAAGAACTTCTCAAGCGTCAAGGTAAGCCACAGGCCCATACTAGAGACCCAAAATCAACCTTTGAGATGCTTTCTTCTAAATCATTTATAGCTCAAGAAGAAACTTCATGGTCCTGCCACGGAGCGGATCCCAGGAATGAGCGGTGACGCTCAGCATCTCGCTCCTTACATCTTCGGCTATCAAGATGTTTTATACGGAGCCCGAAGGACGTCGAACTCTGCCACGATGCGGGATATCCTAGCTCTTCATGCGGTCAACCATGTGCTGAAGACCCGGGACCGGGTGCTGAAGAACAACGCTCGCGTTGCCAAAGAACAGGACGCAGACCTGGACCTTCGGGACCAGGGGTTTACCAGACCAAAGGTGCTTTACCTTTTGCCGACAAGACAAGCCTGTGTTCGAGCGGTCGAGTCCATAACACGCTTCTTCCAGCCGGAGCAGCAAGAGAATAAGAAGCGGTTCTTGGACACCTTTTCTGCAGCGGACGACAAATCCTGGGAAAACAAACCTGAAGACTTTCGGGAGCTTTTCGGCGGCAACGACGATGACATGTTCCGGTTGGGTCTCAAATTCACCCGGAAGACCATGAAGTACTTTTCACAATTCTACAATTCGGATATAATTTTGGCGAGTCCCCTGGGTCTCCGCACAATCATGGACCAGGCTGAGTAAGTAGTTCTGAGTCTTTGACCCTCCGCGACTTTACCTTGCTGACTGCCGTCCAGCGCAAAAAAGCGTGACCACGACTTCTTGTCTTCAGTCGAAGTGGTGATTGTTGACCACGCCGATGCTCTGCTCATGCAGAACTGGGACCACGTGGACTATATTCTCAATCATCTCAATTTACAGCCCAAAGAGGCTCACGGGTGTGATTTCAGTCGTGTGCGGACGTGGTACTTGGACAACCATGCCCGATTTGTCCGCCAGATGATCGTCTCTGCCGGCTTTATCACCCCCGAGATCAACTCCTTATTCTCTACGCATATGCAGAACTTCGCAGGAAAGATCAAGGTGACACCGGTGTACGCGGGGGCTATCTCCGAGGTGCCCCTCCCGGTATCCGTCAAACAGACCTTTTCGCGGTTCGACAGTCTCACACCGACCAAAGACCCGGACGCGCGCTTCAAGCATTTCACCACCACGGTGCTCTCGTCCTTGGTGCGGAACATCACCTCCAGCCGGGACAAGAGCAGTGCGGGAGGCACATTGGTCTTCATCCCGTCGTACTTGGACTTTGTGCGAGTGCGCAACTACTTTGCAACATCCTCGCAGACCACGAACGTCTCGTTCGGGGCGATCTCGGAATATAGCGATGTCCGGGACATGACGCGGGCACGCACACACTTCATGAACGGGCGGCATTCGGTGCTGCTGTACACGGAGCGCCTGCACCATTTCCGTCGGTATCAGATCCGGGGCGTGAAGCGGATCGTGATGTACGGTGTGCCGGAGAACCCGCTCTTCTGGGGGGAGATCGTGGGGTTCTTGGGCTTGGATGCGGCGGGGGTCGTGGACGCCGCGGAGGGAGGCGTGCAGGCCTTGTTTTCCAAGTGGGATGCGCTGAAGCTGGAGCGAATCGTGGGGACGAAACGAGTGGGCAACATGTTGCGGGAGAAGGGAGGAGATACCTTTACTTTTGTATAGGAACATCTGTTACGGAGTACTTTGGCGGGGGGTCATTGTAGACTACCGTAATATGCCATATTCGGGTTGAGCGATATATTCAGATAGCACTTATACTTTGTGTACCACCAGAGCAACTACAGGTACAATGCTGTACAAGCAGGCGGGTTTCAGCATCTATGTATATCTCTCTAACCCATTGCCCTCGAAAAGAGTGCAAAGGATGCCAAGTCATCAACCCAGCCGATCATCCGTCCACAACCCCCACAGTCAATAGTACTTCTTGCTTAGTCCAATGAAAAAGGCCACTAAAAAGCAAGTGAGAGATACTAGTCTCGTTTACGGAGTAGCTGCGAAAAAAAGACAGAGGAAAATACATATGGATGTTGGAGCGACTCGCTCGTCCTTTCAGCTGACTGAAGCCGATGCATGTGGTCGCTTGATGAGCTCTTCCAAGTCATGGCATGAATGGGCTATTTCATGATCCTCATGATTTGATGATATTTAATGCCGGTTTATGATATAGACATAATTTTTTCTTCTTTGGCTTCGCTTATCCAAATTCTCATATGCTGAACGATGGCATCCTCTCAACGCCAGTACAATACTCTCCAAAATTCCGAGAGAATCGCTGCGCCTCCGTTATCGGAGAACGGCCTGAATGGTTACGAAGATGAGACTCGCAGACCGTTACTGGGCTCGTCATCCTCGACCGATCTTGAAGGCAACGGCAAAGAGGGTTCGCAGTCATGGCTACGAGCTGTATACGAGGAAGGGAAAGAGATCTGGTTCCAGAGTAAGGGCATGATTCTGGTGATGCTGGCGCAGTTCTTTGGTGCTTCCATGAATGTCATGACCCAGATCCTTGAGCTGGAGAGCGGGTTACATCCTTTCCAGGTTAGTTTATCCCTGCCCACGGGGCGCTTTAAAGCGTAATCGCTGACCAGCGTAGATCCTCTTTGCTCGCATGTCGGTCACCGTCGTGGCGAGCTACCTCTACATGTGGTATACCAAGGTTCCAAATCCTTTTGGGACTCGTCCTGTGCTGGGCCTGCTGATCTTCCGGGCCATGGGTGGTTTCTTCGGGGTGTACAGTATCTACTACGGGGTCCAGTACCTACCTCTTTCCGAGGCCACTGTCCTGACCTTTTTGGCTCCCATCCTCAGCTGCTACGCTTGTTCACTGTTTATTCCCCACGAGGCATTCACCCGCAAGCAGCAGCTGGCCGCTCTGGTCTCCATGGTAGGCGTAGTGCTGATCGCGCGCCCCTTCTCGTTCTCAGGGACGCCTCCCGACCCGGGAGAGCTGGAGGCGCACAAGCCCGGCACCACGGACAAATTCCAGCATATCTTGGCAATCTGTGCGATGCTGGTGGGAGTCATCGGTGCAGCATGTGCGTACACGTCGATCCGGATCATCGGCCAGCGGTGCCATGCATTGGTCTCGGTCACGTATTTCTCGCTGTTCACTACCGTTGTGTCGTTCCTGGCTATGTTGCTGGTGCCTTCCGTGCCGTTCAAGTTGCCTGAGACTGGGGTGGAATGGGCCTTGATTGCGGGACTTGGGATTTGTGGATTCTTGCTGCAGTTTTTGCTGACTGCTGGATTGGCATACGTGCCGCCACCTCCGAGAAGGTCTCTGAGTGTCTCCGGAGGGGATGGCAGTGATTGTAAGCCGACGAAATCCTCCTCGGGGTCTCGTGCCACTTCCATGATTTATACGCAGATGTTGTTTGCACTGTTTTATGACAAGACAGTCTGGGGTAACACACTCTCTCCTATGAGCTGGGCAGGCTCAGGGTTAATCGTGGGAAGTGCACTATACGTGGCGGTGGTGCGTGACGGCAAGAAGAATGCTACTGCTGCATCTGCAGCTGACGAGACTGCAGAAGAAAGGAGGGAAGCAGCAGCAGCGGCTTGAAGTCACGGATGAAGATGACAGTCAACAGCCCGAGAAGGGTGGGGAAGGAGGGGGGTTGCGCATGTGGAGTTAGTGCTTAAGACTGGAAAGAATATTCGCTCGACTTATTGGTCAATGCTGATGCATGAGGAATCGAAGGAGGTAGGCAGGCTGACGATCTGTGAGCAAGGCTGCAGCAGATGGAGGAGTGGATTGCGGGATCAGAGGCGTTGGAATGATGAAAAGATAGAAACAGCGGTAAAAGCGTCAATATGATAGACATACCGGTACCTTATAGAAAGCAAAAGCCAGTCGATGAGTTGATAAGCAGTCCAAGACAAAGCACGAGAGTGGATGGAGATATTCTCCGCTCATG